CGCCCTCTGTACCCCTCTAACCCCTTAATCCTTCGAGCTACCCCATCACTGTCGTCGCTTTCTAGGTCGTCGTTTTCTAGGTCGTTGTTTTCTAGGTCGTCGTTTTCTAGGTCGTCGTTTTCTAGGTCGTCGTTTTCTAGGTCGTAGGTCGTCGTTTTCTAGATCGTCGTTTTCTAGACACCCAATCGAAAATCTCAAATAATTCCCACACTCGGTCGCATTTTGCAATTTAAACCTCAGCAGTGTTATAAACTCATTAAAACCTTATATATTACAGACTGAAAATGAGGGTAAGTTAGGTTTTGAGCTGTGGCTACGATTTGCCGATTTTGCTCGATTTTTCTGTGCATTCGCTCTTAATATGTGAATTCAAATTTCAACCCTAACCCTGAGTTATCTTAACCCAGATTCGGACAACCCGGCCTTGTTTTCCTGTTTACCGTTCCCATCATCCCCTTCTCGAGATTACTTGTCTCCAGCTCTCGTCGTTTCTCCCCACTGAGCCTTGGGAAAGCCATTGGAGGAGGTAGTAATCCTTAAAAAATTAAGGAAAATACCTACCTAGCTGAGTTTCTGGAGTTTTGATGTTGGTGTCACTGGAGCTTTTGATGTTGTTCCATCTGTTGAAAAATATTTGACACTGTTGTTCAAACCGTTACATGATAATATTACAAACAACAATAGATTTTAGTTGTTTTTAACTGTTAAATTATTTTTTTTTACGATGTGTCAACCACATGTCCAAAAGCGGCGCACTGCTTTTAAAACTTCTTTTAATCGGTCATTGCTGAGTTACCCCTAGCCTCTGTTTTAAAAGTGTCTGAGCGAGAAAGCCTAACAATGATTTTGATCCCCTTGTCATGAAAATGAAACTCATTGAGACGTCTGCACGCAGGCAACATAGGAAAGGTTTTACGACTGGCTTGAAGCATACACATACTGTGTGCAGCTCCTTTAATGTGCTATCAGTCGCATGTTTCAGTTTATTGTTAGTTTTTTTTTTTCAGTTTTAAACAGCTTGTCTTAACTTTTTTATAATCTAACCTCATGATAATAGTAATAATAAAAATGATGATGATGATGATGATGATGAAAAATGATAGTGATATTGATAATGATAATGATAACCATAACCAGTTACTGATGACCACATCTGGAAGAATTTTGTGTTTAACGAGGAAATGGTGTCAAAAATGCAGCCTTCTACAGGTTAATGCACCGTTAACCGAGAAGACCTGGGGACGAGGTTGAGTTGTTTTGGTTGTGAACTTGAAAAATGGCGGACATTTCACTCGTTTCAAGAGTAAGAACTAGGCGATAAAATTGCTAAAAGCATGGAGGTAAGCATGTTTAGCCATGTGTTTATACTAGGAATTATTTTGAATGAATAATAAAACAATTATTGAATTCGGCTTTCGGTCTTTCGACGGATAACGCCCTCCTCGATCTCCATAATTCTTCATAAGATACTCAGCCTCATTGATTAATTGTTAATTAAAACGCTGAAGGAGAGTTCGTTGACTGGCTTTAGCATTTGCGTCTGTCTGATAAAATATGATTTGCGCAGAAAGGCGATGTCCGTGCGGTAAACGTATGACCAGTCTTAGCTGGTACGAAATGACTGGAGCTTGCAAATGCGAACTAAAACGTCGCTTCCGTCTATTAACAGATACTTAAAATTCAGAATCAAGTCTTTCAAGTCTCAAATAGACGAGAGCTTATTTTCGCCACCCTTGAAGGCTTTTTTTAAGCTACGTTAGGGGGAGGGCTTGCTCGGTGACACAGCATACCTCACCGACACGTTGTATCCAGTAGGACTTGTCCAGATCCTGAGGATCTTTAACGCCAGCCTTATCCATTTCCTTCCTCATTATGGACCTCACCTTCATAAAAAAGACGAAAAAAAAAACAGGAAGACAATATGCTTTATTAAGCATACTCTACCGAAAAACCGAATTACAATTTGCTAAAAAAGTAAATAAAACATAAGATTATAAGCAAGAAGCATACCATCATTAGAATATTTTCAAATTTACCAAAATTGCGAGAATTACAAGACCTGTCTAAACTACAGCCTATTTCCATTAAGCTATTATCCTAACAATTACAGTTTATTTAGCAATTTTTGTTTGCACTAGCGAAAAAATTACTACGGGAACGTTCAGTCCTGTATTCGAATGGCCGTTTAAGTCAAGGATTGTTGTAAATTCACTCACTAGTAAGAAATCCGCAAGTGACAATGGTTACACCTGAGTTATTACTGGACGAGTCCACCCAATGATACAGCTACCAAATAGGTATGCAGGGGTGTAGCCAGCCTATAGACCAGTAGGCCCGGGCCTACAAAATTTTTGGTTTGATCACTCTACGGCTTGTAATGAATTATACGTTGTTGGGGTGATCCAAAAAGCTTACAACGGAATCCATCAGGAATTGAGTAATTTTTTATTTTCAGTGGGAAAAAACCCTTCTATCAGAATAACTTAATCAATATCGCATTCTTTTTTACATTTTTTAAAGGGATATAGATGAAATTAGTTATCTGTAATAACACCAAAGAAAATTTCTCATGAGAGTCCAAGAAAATAAATGTCAAATTTCACAAAATGACGCCTTACACATGAAATTTTCCAAATTTTATCTGTGTTTCCACAATTCTTGTGAAATTTGACATAAAAGAATGCGATATTGTTTAAATCATTCTGGTACAAGGTTTTTGTCCCCTGGAATTGAAATTACTCAATTTCCTGATGGATTCCGTTCTAGGAGCTCAAATTGTTGGTGAGTACCAGTCATGTGTGCATTCAGGATATGTGGAAATGAAAGTCAGCCAGAACATATAGTCGAAAAAGCTTGCTACGCCCCAGGTCCAACTTTCAGCCTCGTACCCAGGCCAGTTGGCGCTATCCGAGTTAGTAGAGGAGGCTTGGAACCGAGCGCGATAGCGCGAGGCGTCCTCGCCGATTTTCCCCGACAAGCTTGACAGGTGACGTCACATGCGAAATCGCCGAGGAGGACTGGGAACGAGGCTGTCCAACTCTAAATGCAATAATACGTTTTCCGATGCAGAAGCTGTAGTGACGTCCAACAAGGCAAGCAAAACAAGGGAAATGAATAGAAATTACCTTATCCTTTTGAGCAGGCTTTGCCTGAGAAAAAGAAACAAAACGCCGTGAGCCGAGGAAAGTAACAGTGGTAAAATTAAATCATTTAATTCTTACTTACAGTCCTTTGTCTAGTGAAGAGTACGCCGAGTCATTCAGTCCCTAGGCATCCATCTGAGGAAAAAAATATACCTTACAGTTGAAAAGCCACAGTTGTTTGATCAGTGCCCTAGCCTTTGTATAGAAGCGTGGCTGAGGATGACCTTGTTTTGTTAGAAAACTCCCTGTTTTTCATGTGCAAATCGTGTTATTCTGATGCTAACAAGCCAGTGAACACGATCATTTATAGCAGAGCGTCCGCGCGTGCAGCGCTCAGCGGAGCCCCATAGGTGTCATGGGAAGGGATAGAAAATGAAAACCTATCGATGCCAGAAACTTTGGTTATGACGTCAGCGTACGCCCAAACGACCGTTCGTACCGACTATGGGAGTAGGGGTAAAAAACTCAGTAGGGTAGGGAAGTGAGTCCCAGACATGTACGTTGCGTTTCGTTTTGGCGTAAAATTAACCATTTTAGGGGGAACCAACGGATTTGGACGAGTAAAAATCTAGATTGAAGTTTCTTGTGTCCAACTTACGACAACATTTTCGCAAATAAATTTCTTAAGCTTTTTATTGCTTTATGCTTGGTAACACTCCAGGAACAACCAAGTCTACCCCCTCCCTGCTTGGTCAAAATTTTGACTGGATGATTCACTTATAAACTTATGAAACATCTAGAAATTTGTTTGCTGACTGACTTGCCGACAACGGGAGCCTATTTTTCATTTCAGTTAACTTTTAAAATTATCGTGTTCTTGTCCGGATCCTACCGTCACAAAAATGGAATACAACTGCTGTCCAGTCCAGTTGTTTTTGGGTTTTCCTCAAGGAAAGTGCCGCAAAGAGATTTTTCGATGGCTGCCTTTGTGATAGTTCATGCGGGATCTTACGGCCGACAACAGGAAAAATCTTTTTGATATTTCCACAGGCAGCCCAAACTCTGTTAGTTTGCTACACAGTCGTTTTTAGTGTCGTCACGCAACGCTCCTCTCCACTAACGGCTGCTGAAAGTCGCACCACATTCCTCGCCCTTTGTGTTTGTGGTCTAACAAACAAACCAATCATGGATAAGAAACTTGACAATACGTGAGCCGCAGGGCGCTAGTAGCGAACACGCCTCTCAGTTTTCGACAATCAATCAATCGTCGCTGAATGTTCGTGGGTTCTGTGTCTGAAAGCAACGAAAACGTTGTTTGCAGTAAAGTTTGTTTGTTTTAGGCGGTTAACAAAATTCCAAGCGAAAAAAAAAGGTTTGATGTGCATCATATTTGCTCGACTTGCTTGCAGTTGCTGCTTATCTCAAAAATTTTGAAAGGACTCGACTACGACAACACTACTCTAGTTGATTGCTTGTTTTCACGAGACGATTTTGATTGTGTCATTCACTGACATGGGGCAACGATAAAAGCAAAGCTGTGATTGGAGGAGTCACCATGCCGCAAACGTGGCGTGAACACCTTCTAGAAAATGGGAGCTGAATTCTAATTGGCTAATGGCGGGGAAGGAATGTGGTTCGATTTTCAGCAGCCGTTAGTGGAGATGAGCATTGCGTGACGACACTAAAAACGGCTGTGTAGCAGGCTAAAACACTGTGGGAGTTCGTTGAACTTTGAATTTATAAGAGAATGTATGAAGATAAACAAAATACGTCTTAAATTCCAATTTTGGACAAAAATAGAAATAAAAACGTGTTTGTGTTTTGTTATTTACTGTCTCTTCATCTCTAGAGCCATTTGGAAGCCGTTTTATCGACGTTTAGGATTTTGAGTTGTACTAACAGTAAGAAAAATGGGAACGCTTGCAGCAAGGCTGATGTCTCTGTGGAACTGAACCGACCACCGGTGGGAGAATCAGTGTTCAAAACTGATGTTTGATCATTTGAAGCGAGGATACCACCTAAAAGGCTGCTCTTAAATTGTTCAAGACTACCACCAATCTCAGGAGCCTTAAAAATTGACCGCAATTTACCCCGATCGTTACCGAAGATATAAAGATCTCGAAATACATAGAGGTGACACAACAGACAGCGACTGGCACCAGTGTTCGTTAGTTTTATGTGGACACAACATTGTACGCGTGAGCAGCACGTGCAATTAATGAAAAGTAAGAGAAGCGATGTGACATGCCACTTACTCAGGTAGTACGTTTTCTGTATATCAGTGAGGTAATTCAGCAAACTTATAACTAAAGACCCCAGCTGAGTTTCGAGATTTTTAAAGCGACGTGATCGTTTGATCACGTGACTCAAACTGAGTTGAAGTTGAAGACTGATGAAAAAAAAGGGAAAAAGAACACTAATTTCTATCATGGAATTATTAACGGGAAATCCTACAAGTTGAGAGTAAGTAGTTAGTTGGGAACACAAAACATACAAGCTTAAGAGTCCGATTAGAACATTGACGTTGCTCACTAACCTTTCTCGCTGCTGCTTCTCTACCGATTATGTGTCTTTGCTAGTAATTCTTCTTAGCAATTTTAGCAAAAGAAACTGAAAGTAACAGGGATTTCGATTGCAAGCGGTAACAAAAATTTGCTATCATGATTTTAACAAACAAAAAAAATAGAACTGCTGGCATAAATGTATAGCAAAAAAGAAATATCGCAAATATAACCATAGTAACAAGTTTAACAACTGAACAACAACAAAAAGCAATTAAGGACTTTTAATTGCAAGCTGTATCATCCGATCAGTTTATCCTATAAACGCGACCATTACATTATTGCATGTCTTATGTATGTGCACGATTTTAACTCCACCAACATTACACACACTGTTTACAGGTAGCCATTACGACTCCTGAAGGAGGATCATGAGGTTATTATCCCTATGTTAAGATCTCTCCTTACAGATAATTAATAACCCACCCAGCCCAGAAAAGGTTGGCTACACCACCGGGGTCTACGTCTCTTACACTTTTCGAACAGTGGTGTGGGTTCTTTTACGTCCCTCAAAAACCAGATAAGTGAAAGTGCTGTGAGACGGAACCTACGTCCTTATCCGTGAAGCCTAGAAGGTCTAATCGTTTGCAGATGTCATTACAAAGGCAGCACTTTCCTTCTCAGTTATTTTAAGACCCTAAGTGTTGGTTCGGCCGGGGTTTGAACCTGTGACCTCCCGCTCACCTGACCGGCGCTCTCCTAGCTGAGCTAACCAGGCGGCGGCCAGCCGAGACATCCGATTTGTCAAAAATTTATTTAGGATGCGTCTGCCAGTAAGTCTTCTATGCACTAGACATTGTTATAACTCTAACATGGATTTCATGTTCTAGCCGGGCTAGAACGTGTGCCACGCACGCCAGATACAAAAAAACACTAAAAAACCACCCTTGATAAGTGTCCAAAAGATGCATGGAAATGAATTCCCCTATAATGCATGCTGTGGCACAAAACCTCGTGGAAAGCGGGCGAAAGGCATAGAAGGTGAATACCTTGTTAGATAGACTAGACTATTCCAAAAAGAGATTAATTTCAAAAGAATGCAGGTCCGGAAACCTGACAAATAGTTACACAAGCTGTATATACACCGATCGGAACGTAAGAAAAAACTCTATAAAACAAAACAACAGTAAGTGTCGTTTTTTGTCTCTAAATCGTCAGGTCGAGCTAAATAATCTGCCACGAAACTGCATCATCATCATCATCATCATCAATCTTTACTTTAGCGTAATATTCGCCATATAAAGTCCCATCGGTATCATCCTGGTGCATCTGAAATAAAAAATAACATCACGTTATGTCATTTTAAGAAAATTGGAAAATAAAATCAAAGAAAATAAAGTCCTTTCCAATTTCTCTCCCTGATTAGAGTGATTATAGTTTCAGAGCTTAGTTGTTGACATGTATTTTATAACCTAACATTCCAATAACTTCAATTTTAGGAAAATACAAACCGTTTTAAACAAATATTAAAACTGAATAGGCCGGTTTCCGACAAGTTTGCAGAGAAAACGCAAGAATAAAACGAGTTTTTAAATTTAGTTTGCTTGGATCGCAAAACCTCAAATGAATGTTGCGATTTCATCCGCGTTAATTTGCTCGTAATGCATCATATATAATATTAATAATACCACCACTATTTCATTACAATCTTTGTAACCATGAGTCAAAGACATGCACCCACGCCCTTATAAATTACGTTATAAGTTACACGGTTATAGACTACAACCTGGGAATCGACTACTCTTGAGCTTTAAGGCTATGTTCGATTCACTTCTTCTGTTCACAAGTATGAACGCTGATTTTGGAAGTTTTTCTGTAAAGGAGAGTCAAGCTGTCCGGCCCCTGTCTCTAAAGTGGAGAGTCACATATCGGAAAGGTGTTCATACTAAACCCGTGTCGGCACCAAAGGCTATACGGTTTAGTGTAAAAATAGTCAGTTCGCCGAAATATAGCCTGTTCCAGGCTCCGAGATAGTAGGGTGCGCAAAATTGAGAAAGCGCCAACATGAAAATAAACGGGAAGAAACTGGGGAGAGGAAGGGTGGCGCCTTCCTTTTTCCCGCCACCGCCCCCTTTTCCCAGTTCACGGCCTCATATTTTTGCGTGCCTTTCACTCACTCGTCATCCCTACTATCTGAGAGCCTGGAACAAGCTATGGAGGCGGGGAAAATTAGGGGTTCTTTATCAAACTGATCATTCATAAAAACCTTTACAATAAATCTTGTACTCACTCCCAAACACTGTCGTTCATCGTGTTGTACTGGGACACGTTGGTGCCCGAACTCTCCTGTCCTTTCTGCCCCTGTATTGTTCCACGGTATCCCCGCTTCCAGTTCTCTCTGTTCTTTGATAGCTTTTTCTTGATTTTCCCTTTTCGTGCTCTCTACGGAGAAGGGTTTACTCCCTCTGCAGGTTGATGTAAGAGCCAAGTAGATTTTGATTACAAAGCACATTATAACAAGCAAGATGGTAAATGAGGCGATGCTAAAAAATAGCTCCAACGTCATCTTTTGGCTTGCTAGGGTGTGTTCTTTACTGTTCAGTGCACCAACGGGATGACTGAAATATAAAAATCAATGTTTGACATGAGTACTGCTTGGCGGAAGATGTCAGCAGGCATTAGCGACTTTTAAAAGGCCTTATATTTCGAACGTTACGCAACAGTGTCGATGGTCATATTTCGAGTTTAGGCCACCTGTGGTAATTAGTTACACAAATGTCCTATAACTGCAAACCTTGCCTAGTCCCTGTACGGCGTTTTCCAAGTCCCTCTCTCCCAATTAACTTCGATGACGTATTCCAGGCGAATGGGTGGGAAACGCTTTTTGAAATTCAAGATGATGTAAACAGCAGAAAATTTTGATATGGTTTCAAAAAAAAAAACCTTGTAGATATTTGCGAGATCGACTTCTGCCGACCAGCTCTGAAAAGTCATCAGAATATTATTCATAGTCCTGTGAAGATTGATTTCTGCTCATTCAATCTCATCATTTCAACTGAACTATCGGAGTTTGTAGCTCTTACATCTTTTTCGGATAACACGGGACCTGTGGTGTAAAAAACGTCTTTGGATTTTGGGTTTTTCTGCGACGTCAATCAAACTCTGAAGAATCGGCGCTTTCTTGCCTTCACATCTTAGAGGACCTCTTAGGAAACAGAAGGTCATGGTTTGTGATTTGTGACTGGTGGATTTCGATGCATCCGTTTTGTGTGTTTCTAGGTTCGTTGCTTTCGAGCTTCAGAGTTCGGTCACGTGTTTTTAAAAAGCGGAGTAAGGCCCGGTCAGACGCCGAACTTTTCATGAGCCGAACCTAATACACAAATTATTATAACGTATTTTGTTAGTAGTTTGACCGAAATGAGCATTTTTCTCCTTTTGAATTTATGTATCAGTCAATTCCTTTGTGCCCAGCCCAACCCCCCGGCTACTGCGAAGCATTTGCGCGCCTTGAAAGTCCCGGGGGTGGGGCATTTGCAAATTTTGAACTGCCCGGGCACCGGGCATTTGCCAACCCCCAGGCCATTCCCGAGCTTTTGACACGCACGCGGTTTCCTATCAGAATATAACTACACAGAAGGTTTTACTGGACAAAAAGCAGATTGGCTCATCTGTCAAATACAGGAATAAATTGTGGAGGGTCGTAAAGGCATGTTCTCGATTTTATGCATGCATTTCTTCATTGCTTTATAAGCCAGAATTACATAGCGAAAATTGGAGCTATCGATGTGAATCAACGTTTTATTGGTTATTGAATCAAATTTCTGTTGATATTATCTGAAGAACATGTTTACATATTTATAAAACTATTCAAAACATATAACTTTACAGTGCTCCATTAATTTTAATGTCAATAATTTCATATCAATACTAAAACCATAAACTGGTGCATATCGTCGCGTCGTGAAGTCTTAATGAGAATCCTCAGAGCTATTACAAAGAAAGACGTTAATTGAAACAAAAAATGGCACATTAAAATGCTAAAAATGGCACTATTTGACTGTGCGATCAATGAAAAATGTTGCACTGTTGACGGAGGACGGGGCATTTGCCCTCTTTTTTCGTCCCCGCCCTTCCCCCCCCACCGGGATTTGGCAGCTCAAGAGTCCTCACCCCCGGGAATTTGCCATCCAGGGTAAAAAAATGCTTATGCCCGGGGATCAGCCCGGGGGGGTGGGGCTGGGCGCCGGTGGAATTGACTGATGCATTAGTCCGGCTGGAGTTAAGAAAGGCGTCTGAATCAATTCAGTCGGTCTTAATTCAAATTAGGTTTTTTCTCATGAAAACATGGTTCGGCGTCTGACCCGGGTCTAAGTTTAACTTCAACTCTAACTTTTTAAATCTTCTTTATACTGAAACATAGCAAGTTTAGATTGTTCCTAATATATAGAGCTTCCAAATAACACAGGGGACTGGGGCTACCATCATGACAAGTAAACAAATGAGCTCAAAAGATGATTTTATCTGGGAGATTTGGTGATCCGTTCGGAAAAGCAGGAGATCGGTGCCGTATACGGGAGAGTTGGCATGTATGGTATTGGTATGGTTTCCTTTCTGTACATTTAGTAGTTTGAGTTTGAGTTTGAGTAAGCACCCGTAAACAAGCTTATTAAATGCAGACACATTAAATATACGTTACCCTGTATACAAAAACTAGCAAAATGAACAAGTTCCAAACAGTTCGCATCACGTTGTTGAGCTGACCATGAAAACTATTCGTCTAATAGTTCTAATGACTCACAATTGAACTTTCAATCTGTCGTTGAGTAATAATTATTCCCTGCGGCAACTTTCTTTCTAGTTCAATTGTTGTTTTATACAATTAAGGAATATTTGTTTAGTAGTGTGTGACGGAATGAACACTTGTGAAGCTAATTATAACCTCCCTTAAGAAGCATTTTCGTCCTTTACCTAATCTCTGTCACAAATTAATGTTTAGTCTCTAAACGAAGTACTTTTTGTTTTGTACGCGTTAACTGATCAACTAATGTATGCATTTTAAAATCTTTGTAATTGCGAAAAGCTAAAATAAAGCGCATTAGATCACATTTGAATGGTATTTTTGCTCCTTATAAATAATAAACTGTTATTATTATTATTATTATTATTAACCGTACTACGAGAAACATAGGCTAAATCTCAAACTAAAGCACAAAAAAGATCAAAAGATGATTTTATCTGGGAGGTTTGGTGACCCGTACGGGAAAGCAGGAGATTGGTGCCGCATACGGGAGATTTGGCATGTATGGTTTTAATATGGTTTCCTTTCTGTACATTGAGTAGTTTGACTATGAGTTTGAGTTTAAGTGAACACCCCTTTATATCATGCAGCATTATACAAGCTTATTAAAGACACACATCTTAAATATACGTTACCCTGTACTACAGAAACCAGCAAAATCAGCAAGCTCCAAACAGTTCGCATCACGTTGTGCAGCTGGCCATGAAAACTAACAGCTCTTCTGAGTTAGAAGAGAACATTCAATCTGTCATTAAACAATAATTATTTCCCGCGGCAACTTTCTTTGTAGTTCAATTGTTGTGTATTGTAGTAATCATTGTCTAGTAGTGGGTGACGGAATGAACACTGGAGAAGCTAACCTTCCTTAAGAAGCATTTTCGTTCTTTACCTAATCTTTGTCATAAATTAATGTTCAGTCTCTAAACGAAGTATTTTTTTTTACGCGTTAATCAACTAATGTATACATTTTAATATCTTTCTAGGTGCGAAAACCTAAAATAAAGCGCATTAGATCACATTTGAATGGTATTTTTGCTTTATGTAAATAACAAATCATTATTATTATTATTAACCGTAGTACGAGAAAAATGGGCTAAATGTCAAACTAAAACACAGAAAAGCTCAAAAGATGATTTTATCTGGGAGATTTGGTGACCCGTGCGGGAAAGCAGGAGATCAGTGCCGTATACGGGAGAGTTGGCATGTATGGTGTTGGTATGGTTTCCTTTCTGTACATTTAGTAGTTTGAGTTTAAGTTTCAGTAAGCACCCGTTCACATTATACAAGCCTATTAAATACAGATACATTAAATATACGTTACCCTGTATACAAAAACTAGCAAAAACAACAAGTTCCAAACAGTTCGCATCACGTTGTTGAGCTGACCATGAAAACTATTCGTCTAATAGTTCTCCTGACTCAAAATTGAGCTTTTAATCTGTCGTTGAACAATAATTGTTTCTTGCGGCAACTTTCTGCGTAGTTTAATTGTTGTTTTATACAATTAAGGAATATTTGTTTAGTAGTGTGTGACGTAATGAACACTTGTGAAGCTAATTATAACCTCACTTAAGAAGCATTTTCGTCCTTTACCTAAACTCTGTCATAAATTAATGTTTAGTGTCTAAACGAAGTATTTTTTGTTTTGTACGCGTGAAGTGATCAACTAATGTATAGATTATTTTTTAATATCTTTGTGCAGCGAAAAGCTAAAATAGAGCGCATTAGATCATATTTGAATGGAATTTTTGCTCCTTATAAATACTAAATTTTTATTATTATTATTAACCGTACTACGAGAAAAATGGGCTAAATCTCAAACTAAAACACAGAAAAGCTCGAAAGATGATTTTATCAGGGAGATTTGGTGAACTGTACGGGAAAGCAGGAGATCGGTGCCGTATACGGGAGAGTTGGCAGGCATGGTGTTGGTATTCTTTCCTTTCTGTACATTGAGTAGTTTAAGTTTGAGTTTGAGTTTGAGTAAGCACCCGTTCACATTATACAAGCTTATTAAATACAAACGCATTAAATATACGTTACCTGTATACAAGAACTAGCAAAATGAACAAGTTCCAAACAGTTCGCATCACGTTGTTAAGCTGACCATGAAAACTATTCGTCCAGTAGTTCTCCTGACTCTGAGAATTGAACTTTCAATCTGTCGTTGAACAATTAATTATTTCCTGCGGCGACTTTCTGCGTAATTTAATTGTTGTTTTATACAATTTTAAGGCACATTTGTTTAGTAGTGTGTGACGGAATGAACACTTGTGAAGCTAATTATAACCTCCCTCAAGAAGCATTTTCGTCCTTTACCTAATCTCTGTCATAAATCAATGTTTAGTCTCTAAACGAAGTATTTTTTGTTTTGTACGCGTTAACTGATCAACTAATGTATGCATTTTAAAATCTTTGTAATTGCGAAAAGCTAAAATAAAGCGCATTAGATCACATTTGAATGGTATTTTTGCTCCTTATAAATAATAAACTGTTATTATTATTATTATTAACCGTACTACGAGAAACATAGGCTAAATCTCAAGCTAAAGCACAAAAAAGATCAAAAGATGATTTTATCTGGGAGGTTTGGTGACCCGTACGGGAAAGCAGGAGATTGGTGCCGCATACGGGAGATTTGGCATGTATGGTTTTAATATGGTTTCCTTTCTGTACATTGAGTAGTTTGACTTTGAGTTTGAGTTTAAGTGAACACCCCTTTATATCATGCAGCATTATACAAGCTTATTAAAGACACACATCTTAAA